TTTAAAAGCCATTTATTTCGTTTAATTTCGTACAGCGGATGTTGGTTGTAAGCTTGGTTTTAAATTATATTCCTACTTAGTCATTAATCATTGTTTCAACCAAATCCGTTTCTTTACAAAAATTTCATCATTAGCTAAATTATCTGTTTCATTATTAAAACTAATTTCCCCTAATTAAACAACTTTATACTCGATAAAAAATCCATGTTTAAATCAAGCTAGTTTACATGTTTTCTTCTAGTATTTCAAGGGCACCTGGAGTCTAATATGTAGGACATATGAATTATGTACAGTCGAATTGTCGGTGATTTGACAGAACATCACAAATTCAAACACACATTATATTTTTTTATATATCTAGACGATAACATTGTTAGGGTCTAGCAAAACTCTCTCGTCAAAAGAGATAAATAATACACAGATACAAGGAACATGTTTTATACAGCTGTAAAGAGGTTTTTAATTTACACCACTATATTTGAATCAGGGAATCAGCACATTTGATCAAAGTTTCAACATACACTCAACCAATAATCAACATACATTTGATCAGAGATTCAACATACAGTTAACCAATAATCAACATACATTTGATCAGAGATTCAACATTCAGGTGATCTATAATCAACATACAATCAATGATCAATATTCGTTTGATCAGATTCAACATACGGTTGATCCATGATCAATATACAGTTAATCAATCATCAACATACAGTTGATCAGAAATTCAACATTCAGGTGATCGATAATCAATATACAATCAATGATCAAAGTACGTTTGATCAGATAATCAAAAGGGGTTAAGGAATTAACATACAATTAATGATGTAAGCGTAAAAAGACTAAAAGGGTTACCACTGCTTTGATCACAATCTTGCTTGGAAAGAAGGTCAGCTACGCTATAAGAGAAACAAGTGTAGTCTATTCTATTTATAAAAACAAGTGTTACATTGTGTATAGATGGGGTATTTACAAAGGGTTAACAAAAGTTTGTAGAATATGACACAGCAATAATGAAAGAAACTGATTACATTAATTCTAGATGATAGGATAATTTTAAACTTGTTTTGAACGGTGATGTTTCGTGACAATTTGTAGTTTTGAAAAAAAATCAGTGTTTCTTCCAGACTTTTTTCTCCGGGGGGGGGGGGGCACTTGAAATCTTCGGGGGGGGGGGGGGGGGCGGTAAACTTTCTTCGGGGGACGGACACTGTTAAAAGTATATATTTTCTATATAAATTATATAAATTTCATTTCGTTCGGGGGGGGGGGGCGGTAAAAAATTTTCGGGGGGGGGGGGCCTTCGCCCCCCCGAAGACATGCCTGGAGGAAACTCTGAAAAAAATGTTCGTCATTTTTGTGATAGATGTTACTATTATGAATTTTAGAGAGTGTGAACTGTATTTAAATTTGAGAGAGTGCTGTGATTTTATCTGTATTTGGTATACTATTGTCTGTGATGTAAAGTCTAAAACGTATGCATTTTTTTTGTTAATTTTTGTTAATTTTATTGTTCTGGTTGTTGTGTTAAGTATTTTCTTGTCCAACTTCTGTGTGTGAATTGTTTATGTGTAGGTAGGTAGAGTGGAAATGTGGAGTGTGTGTTTGGATTGTGTTTTTCAATACTGTATATATATATATATATATATATATATATATATATATATATATATATATATATATATATATATATATATATGTGTGTGTGTGTGTGTGGGTGGGTTGAGAATTGCATTTTGGAATTATTTTGATTTTAAATGGTGATTTGACATTGGGTGTGTAGTGGGTAGGTAAATTGAATGTGTGTATTGAATGATCTTAAAACGTGTGTAGTGTGTAACAGTGTTTAAATAGTTGATGGTGTTCTGTTATTTACGATTGTCATGAACCAGTATATCAGACACAAATTTTAGTGCCGTCCACCCGTAAACATACATCAGCCTTAAATCACAATCGATCAACTCATCGATATAATTTACCCTCTTTGGTATAGTGGAAACAATGGGAGATCCAATAACGATGTACTATTTACACAATTTTACAGGACATACGTTTATTTTAAAAGAAAGTCACCAAACGTTCTTTACATCAATTTAAAACAAAATAAAGCTAGACATTTAAAATCTATTGGGTTTAAATTCAAGAACTCAAGTTTTAACTAATATATTTCATAAAGTTAACGTTGGTAAAGCCACTACATTTATAAGTGATAATCAAGTGTTTACACAAACTATTTCAATGTAAAAGAAGCGACTGTGGCACCCTGAATTTTACACTTGCAGCTGATCAACTTACAAGTAGAATCCATCATTTACATAACCAAAATAAAGTTATAAGCGGATTAAAAGGTCTATAAGTTCACGATTTACTTCAGGAAATGTCATTCGAATTTTTTAATCAATGATAATAATGAACTGGTTTACAGCTTATTCTATTCTGCGGCAGCAGGAGAGAAACCTCAGGACATGAGGCAAGCAGGTGTTTTAACTGACGGATATTGCTATGTATAAGGCAGGTAAGAATCAAACTGTTGAAAAACTTTTTTTTACAGGGTCACTCGGGTCAGTTAAGGTCAAGAGCGTTACTTAATTTTCGTCTACCTGACGTATAGATTGGGTTGTGTCATCTAAGAGACCACTAGTTAACATAACATATAGATCAGACCACTCGTCTGAGACCACTCGTCTTGCAAGTGTGGACTGAAGTGATCACACGAGTAGATGTATAATTTTATGCGCACTTGACTACTCAATGAACGATTAGCTAACTATTTTCTTTTAACTATTGTTTCTTGATATATATATATATATATATATATATATATATATATATATATATATATATATATATATATATATATATATATATATATATATATATATGTATTTAAATTTGTATTTAAAATACATATAACAAAAACACCGGGCATCATTTTTCTTTTGGACAAATAAAACCCTAAATCCTAATAAAGAATTACTTCTGATAGGCTACTGAAAGACATACTTACTTCTGACTGATAATTAAAAGTCATAACTACTTCTGACGACCAACTGAAGGTCATAATGACTTCTGACTGTCTATAGAAAGTCATAATTACTTCTGACTGCCAATATAAAGTCATATGACTTCTGACTGCCAAAAGAAATCTCACCCTTACACTTATAGACCCCCACCTTGTACCCATGACTTCTGTCAACATCCATTATTCCATTTCAACTTTGGTCTCTGACGTTGGCACCACGAACCTGGAGCCCTCCAAGTTTACCCGAGGGCCGGCACTTGCCGGATATTTGCCGAGAGTTCGTGTGTCACTCCGGCTGCCGGTCGCTCATTGAACAGCCGGTTCACGGTGCCGGCCCCCCAGTGTGGGTGTGATAAAAACATGGACCGTGATAATCAAGGAATCAAATGATCTTTTGTGTCCGAAGATTAGGGCAGCTCTTCACAACACCAGGTACCATTATGGTCGCAACTACATGAGCTTGTCAAAGAATTTCAAATTTTAAATGTCATGTATTCAAATTTCTCATTACCCGTTCAAATTTCAAAATTGTAATCATTTCGAGAGCTTTTTCAAGTACCATAATTTTTTTAACCATAGTAATCACCTAATTTGAGCTTATTATTGGATAATATTTCTGATTTTTAAATAAAACTTACCCTGTAAGAAATTTCATCTAACAAAAAGCTTAAAAGTAAACGTTTGGAGCTCTGATACAATATGACAAAGATATTTTTTAACAAACATAAACAATAATACTAATACCAGTTTAACCGTATCAAAACCATAAGTAAATAAATAAAATTGGATTTTATAGTGAATTTTAACGAAAAATGTATTCATCCCCCAAAGTTTTTAAAAGCATTGTCAAAAGAATTAGAAAACGTGTATCCCAGTTTAAACATATGTACACAAATTTACACACTAAACAATGCACACGCATCATCGATCGAAGCAGGAGTTTCTAGTTCAACAATGTAACGCTTGTTTTTCTTTTTTGTGTTTTAGATAAACACCGACACAGGAATTGGTGATTAAGGCCCCACGTTACGCAAGCAAAAATATGCATTTTATGAAAAACGAAACAAAAAATGTGAAACAGAATGATAATGATTGACGAGTTTAAGATATGAAGACACGCATCTTTAGCGAGTCTCTGGTGACAGATTGCGTCTTGATATCGGATTGTAGATGCCATGAAATATTTGCCGTTTTTTTTCAGGATCGTTTTGTTTGTAGCTGAATGCTTGAAAGCTTTTGTTAGCTTGCTCCAGAAGAGGGATTATTCAGACTTGTTGCTAAGTCATCGCGTAATGTGTTTTATGATGTTCAGGTTTTTTTTTTAGACATTACAGCCGGTGATTCATGGAAATGTTCCTACATTTTATTATGGATTCAACACAGTCTGTTTGTGATGAAAGTGTAGTTTTAAATGAAGATTTGTACAGCACATGTGATGTCCATGAAAAAAAAAACATACACATAATGTTTTATCATTTCCTAAATTTCGGAATTGAATTTTCAAAACTTTGTTCACCGTGTCATTCCGAATTACCATCAGCTTTGTAAAGCGAAATTTGTATTAAAACATTCATATGATTTATTCTTGTCATTTATAATGACATTCTTGGCGACTAGTTCATTTAGAAGAACATTCTTGGCAACTAGGTCATTAAGAAGGGCATTATCGGCAACTAGGTCATTAAGAATGATATTCTTGGCAACTAGTTCATTTAGAATAACACCCTTGGCAACTAGGTCATTCAGAATGGCATTATCGGTAACTAGGTATTTTAGAATGATATTCTTGGCAACTTGGTCATTAGCAATGACATTAGTTTCAAGCAGGTCATTTTCAATGATATTCCTGAACATTTCTTACAAAGAGCTGCAGCATGTTTTGCTACCCCCACCCCCTCTCAACACAGCTGACACTGGACGCCTCTGGCAGAGTTCCACAGTTTTCAAGACATGAGTTCTATCAAGTCTGACGCCGCTAGACGTGGCTGTGGTCCGGAGAGTACCCGTGGGTGTGCGTCGAGATGCCATTAGTGGCGTCAAGCGGCACTTTCTCCGTGTCCGCCACCTCGTCCACGGTGTTGTGGTGGTTGTCGTGCTCGCTCACGGTGGTCGCCTCAACCTCAGTCGCCGCGGTCTCCTTCGCGATGAAGCCGTTATTCCCGCGAGATCTCATCGAGTTGCCGTCTGACACCCCGCTCTGCTGTTTGGAACCCTGTCGGGATTTTGTGATCCTTAGCTTCAGCCATTTTGGATGCACCTCCTGCTGGGGGCAGAATATGGCGGCGAAGGTCGTGCGGAACTGTGTGCTCATGGTACAGTACAGGATAAAGGTCACCGAGTTGTTGGTCAGAGCCATGATGTCCAGCAGGTCGCCCAGCTTGTCGTAGACAACAGTGACGAAGCATTCGACGAAGATGTTCATCAGGGTCAAGATGCCCTGGGGCAGCTCGGTCAAGGTGAAGAGAATGACCACCGCCAGCAGCATGCGCGTGATGCGGTTGTGCTCGCCGTGTTTGTCCGACTCGGCTTTCCGGCCTTGAGATTTCAGCTTCAGGCGTTTTCTGTACGCTTTGTGCATTGCGTGGACGAGGAGCAAGGTCAAGGTCGTGAGCATGAAGCAGGGCACGAGCTTGATGAGAATGGCCTGGAGCCAGTGGTTCACCTGGTGGATGACCCGCTCTAGCTCCGTGTCGGTCTTGGGTACCGGGTGGTAGTAAACATACGACACGGTCCTGCTGATCACTGTGATATTGCCTGACGAGTCGACTTCGGTTAAATTTGTAGTCGTCTCCCCTTGCTGTATCCCGTAAGTATTTGCCGTGTAGTTGGGAATACAGATGAAGATTGTGAGGACGATAATGGTAACGACGACGTATCTAGCCCGCTGTTGACTGCAGTAGTACACCCCACTTGTCGGCTTACAGATGTAGATGTAGCGGAAAATGGCCAACGCGATGGTCAGCCAGATGGTGGTGGTGTGGCAGACGATGCTGAAGTTGGCGTGGAACAGCAGGAAAACAATCCACGAGAACTTACTGGAGCTGAAGGCGAACCGAGACGGATCTGCGGGTTCCATGACGTAGAAATGCACCGCGAATAACAAATAGTCCGTCATTTTGAGTAAGTCACAGACAGCCAACCAGAGGAGTAGGGTGTTAGTGCTGGATGCCATGTTCTTGCGCGTGAGCACGATGATGTTGGCGCAGTTGGAGAGCACGCCGAACAGGCAGACGGCCACGGCGATGTAGCCGTGGATCTTCCTGTAGCTCTCGCTGAACTCCTCCAGGCCCACCCTCGTGTTGTTGCTGACGATGCCCGGGATGGACTCCACGGAGAAGCAGCTGTCCCCCGCGCCGCTGACCACGATGGTGGTGTTGGCGGCTGGGCTGGAAGTGGTCAGGTCCATGGTTGGTGTCCCACAGGGTTAGTTCAAAATGTACCTGAGTGTAAGTCTATAAAAAGTAACAACCGGATATGGACATACTTGAATGGCTGTCAGCGTCTGTTTGGTTCATAGACGAGTTGTTCTATGACGTCATAGCAGACGACCAGACACTTCTGCAAAAATAAAAAATAAAGTTTTACTTGAAAAACACAATTTACACCTAACATGAAAATTATAAAAAGATAATAATTTAATCTTGTACCATCTGGACCATAGCAGTTTAGGTCGATGTTTTTTTAAAGTTGTCAAACCATAGAAATGGTTTGTTATTTTCTCAACCGCTTTGGAAAACTATTTCAAAACACTATAAATGCTAATGAGATAGCTACATATTTATTTACATAAAAACTATCATCGCCAATATCCTCGCCACTTCCATCAACACTACCAATACTACCATAAACACTACCATTAACACTACCATCACCCCTACCATCACCACTACCATCACACTATCGTCACCATTACCATCACCACTACCATCATACTACCATCACCACTACCATCATACTACCATCACCACTACCATCACCACTACCATCACCACTACCATCACCACTACCATCACCACTACCATCAACACTACCATCAACACTACCATCACCACTACCATCAACACTACCATCACCACTACCATCACCACTACCATCACCACTACCATCACCACTACCATCACCACTACCATCACCACTACCACTACCATCACCACTACCATCACCACTACCATCACCACTACCATCACCACTACCATCACCACTACTATCAACACTACCACTACCATCACCACTACCATCAACACTACCATCACCACTACCATCACCACTACCATCACTACTACCATCATCACTACCACTACCATCACCACAACCATCACCACTACCATCACTACTACCATCATCACTACCATCACCACTATTATCACCACTACCATCACTACTACCATCATCACTACCATCACCACTATTATCACCACTACCATCGACACTACCACTACCATCATCACTACCATCAACACTACCATCACCACTACCATCACCATCACCACTACCATCACCACTATCATCACCACTATCATCACCACTACTATCACCATTACCATCACCACTACCATCACCACTACCATCACCACTACCATCACCACTACCATCACCACTACCATCACACTACCATCACCACTACCATCACCACTACCATCACCACTACCATCACCACTACCATCACCACTACCATCAACACTACCATCACCACTACCATCAACACTAACATCAACACTAACATCACCACAACATAAACTCGTACAACAGCAATCCAAATACTAACATGCCAAAAACAACAAAAAAATAAATAAAAATGCTAATTACAATCCCTAAAGTGCAACTAATCTAAATAATATCTGCTGAAAAGTGCGTCAATATTGTATTGTGACGCGTGATTCGGTCCCTTAATATAGCAACATTTCAGGACCAGAGATCTTGGTCTACCACTAAGGTTTATTTTGTCTACTCCATTCTTATTTAAAAAAGTTAAACATAGAATAAGAAATCATACAAACAATAGAAAATTATACATCCAATTACATAGACGTTCATGTTTGTTTCCGCAATTAATTAATTAGCACAAATAAGTTTCAGTTTGTTGTCTGTTTGTACTTCTGTTAGTGTGTTTTAGTTAAACAAAATTTAGAATTAATTTTTATCTTTCATGTAATATCCGATTTGTTTGAAAGTAGATATAAGACATTTCAAGAACTTCTAATTGAAACGGTCTAAGTTTTTAGGTTGTCGTGAAGAGAAAAAAAAACCCGGTAAAATAAAAATAAACATGACGTTAATTAACTTTCAATATGATGTCATTACTATCTAATTTTTCAATTTTGGACGGCAGTTACACAAAAAAATTAGATTAAAAACTGTATGAACGATGGCTTTGAGTTTTAGAAAAATATCTGGAATTCAATTTAAGATTGTTCGGGCTAAAATAATTTGATCTCGTTAAAAATGCGAAGGGGCAAGTTGCAGTAATGTGACGTCACAAGTTGCAGTAATTTGGCGCCACACGTTACAGTAACATAACTTTACAAGTTGTGTGGATTCAACTCGACAGCACAAGTAGCAGTAATGTAACGTCACAAGTAGCAGTAATGTAACGTCACAAGTAGCAGTAATGTAACGTTACAAGTAGCAGTAATGTAAAGTCAGAACTAGCAGTAATGTAACGTCACAAGTAGCAGTAATTTAGTGGCACACGTTACAGTAAAGTAACTTTACACGTTGCAGTAATATGGCGGCACATGTAGATTCAACTCGACAGCACAAGAAAAATGTTGCAGTAATATGACAACACATGAAAAATGTTGCAGTAATGTGACAACACAAGAAAAATGTTGCATTAATGTGACAACACAAGAAAAATGTTGCAGTAATGTGACAGCACAATAAAAATGTTGCAGTAATGTGACAGCACAATAAAAATGTTGCAGTAATGTGACAGCACAAGAAAAATGTTGCAGTAATATGAAGAAAAATGTTGCAGTAATGTGACAGCAAGAGTTGGCCCAGCGTGACGCCACAACTTGAAGTATTTTACCGACGCAAGGGAGGTAATATTTATTCAGTGAGACCGCATTTATCCCTTTTTCAGAAACATTTATTTGGAAAACACTAAGCGTAAAACCATTTGACGTAAAGCCGTATTTTTAGCCAGCAGATATCAAGTCAACCGATTCACTACGAACTCTAAAAGCATTAGAGTGCATTGTCTTTCATCCCCTGGTTGTTGAAATTTAATAGCACCAAATATTTATTGGTTCGTTTGAGTGCAGTAGTGATCGGGGAAATAGAATTTTATCGAATTTTGGTCTGGTTGGCAAACAGAGCCCAATCAATATTGGAATTTGGTTTTGTTTCTTTCTATTTGGTAGCCCTGCCAGGCTTTCCAGTGTTATTATCAAACAGTTCTCGATGTTACATTTCAAGCCAAAAAAAAAAGTCTTTTCGATTTATTTTTTTGGTTACAATTAGCATCCATAAAGTTAGAGTTCAGCTTAAACGCGTTTGTTGTATAGGTTTTATGAGGGGCAGTCTGATCGGTTGCCATGGTTCAAGTAGAGGCTAAATACATTGCCAAAAATGAGAATAAGGGCGTGGTTAATTAAGTGGGAGGGTCGCCCGGGAGTCGGGGATTTTGTTGTAACGGGCACCCCTGGGGAGGCGCGGTTGAAAAGTAGCCAAAGTAGATTACGTTAGCCGGAAACCGTTTTATTGGATCTGCTCAGGAGGTTGGCGCAGGTGTAGATCTTTGACCTCTATCGTGAGCTCCGGGTTGAGAGAGTTCAGAATTTTTGGGGTTCTGGATATATCTTGTCTTGTTCATTAGTTTAGGGTGGTTTCGTGTAATATATTTCGGAAAATGGTACAATTTTAAAAATTACAATCAGTGTACAATCAGTGTAATTACAATAAATTACGGAGTGGTCTAGCGGTAGAGAGCTGGACTGCTAACCCGTAAGTCTCGAGTTCGAATCCGGGTTCAAGTCAATAGGCAGTCCCTGAGTCCACCCAACTCTGATAGGTACCTAACGCACGTTAGGGAAAGTAAAGGCGGCTGGACATAGTGCTGACTACACTATCTCCTCATATGCCGGGGTCACAGAAACAAGTGAACTCTACTTCACTTGCACCATAGACCGTCAGGGTTAAAATGGAACTTTACTTTTGATTATTAACACAGTAATTTAACATTTAGTGAGTGGCTGCGGTGTCGAGCTTTACAAATAGTTGGGGATGTATAATGACATATTATCCATAAATAAAACACTGAGTTGCTTTATAAACAAATCATGAAGAGCCCATGTTGAATATAAGAAAAGACAGCTATTTAAATGGACCTAACACTATCACATACGTTGACAAAAATATAAATAGGAAAACAACTTATATTTCAACACCACAGTTAACCGACTACAAGAAACAGTTGAAAGCTTTCTTTAAAAAAAAAAACACTGACACAAAACGAGTATTGCTTAATCTAGTTCAAGAGCAAGTCTAAAGTTCGGGGGTGTGTTTGTTTTTATTTCGTTTGTTCAACAAAAGGGGCGGTAAGTGCTCCTGTAGAGCATTACAGAATGGAGAAAGTGTTGGTTTTTGGAGCGCACGGGAAAACGGCTAAAATGCTAACAGTGTAAGTGTTCTCTTCTAAGTTAACAGTCATGGCGAACATCAAAGTTAACATGGTTGAGATTCATAACTCGTGTGACGAAATTCATACACACACGCAAACATTCTCACACAGACATACAGATATACACACACACACTCAGACACACGATCATACACGTGCAGGTACAGGTATACGTTCACATACACGTACACGAACTCTCTCTCTCTCTCTCTCTCTCTCTCTCTCTCTCTCCCTCTCTCTCTCAAGCACACACAAACACAAAAATTCTCAAACAGACATACAGACATACAGACACACACACACACACACTCAGACACACGCACATACACGTGCAGGTACAGATACACTCTCACATACACATACACGTACACGGACTCACACACACACAACACAAACACAAACACAAACACACACTCACACACACTATCCAACAAATTAAAAAAACTGTTCAATTTTTAAAATGTGTATTGCAGTTTAGGTATTGCATAAACATCAGGGGGTTATAAATAGATGAATATAGATGGGGGAGGGGCATGGGGGAACGTGTGACAGATATTGGGTAGAACCATAACAAAACAGGTTTAAGTAGTTTAGCTACACGAGATTCGAGGCCAAGCCCATCACTGAGAACCCAGCGTCCACAGATATCAGGATATAGTTACATAGGCACATTCTAGAACACAGAGCATGGAGTCTAGGAAACAATAATAGCTGTATGGTGCTCAGTACAACATATTGGTCTTAAACCATAAAACAAATCATATAGACTATAAACCATTAAAGGTGTAGAAATGATCTATTGTGTTGCAAAATAGTAACTAGAATTGAAACAGTTTATATATATATATATATATATATATATATATATATATATATATATATATATATATATATATATATATATATATATATATATATATGAGTATGTACATGTACATGTACACACGTGAGTGCTAGGATACATTATGGCTGTGAACTATGTGCCTTATACTAAGCTAAGATTTACATAATGGTAACAACAGTTAGGATATACATTTCTACAATTTTTGGCAAATCTACTTATAGTACTTATACTGTAGACCTTACCACTAAAACCCAGACCATTAAATACAAATGCACCATGTTGGTTTAGGGATGTATTATTTATGCAGGAAATACGACTGGAGAAATTTAAAAAAAAAACATCAAGTAAATATCAAGTGTTTTTGGCATTTGTTGTGGAAAGTTCGCTTTATACAATTATTTATTTTAAAAGTTCAGACTTTAAAATTGTAAAATCGTCAATTAACAAAAAAACAAAACAAACAATGATTATGTAAATAGGATTGATTGTAAATATTTGGCCATATCATGACGTCATGTTCTGTTGTATAATTTGTTATTACTTGTTGGATTTTAAAATAAAAAAAAAACAGTTGCAACTGTATGTTGGTTGCATTTGGAATTAAAAATTGATTCAAAATGTTTGATTGACTAGAAAACTTTCATGAAGTGTATTATTAAATAGGTCGAAAATAATTTTCGGTTGATTTGTTTGATTGCGTTAAAATTATTGATATACGATTAAAATATATTCTATAATTAACAAAATATATAGATATTAGGTCTAATGAGAATATAACTAAATTTTTTTCGTAAAAATAATTCTAAAATTAAAAAAAAACCCACTAGTATTTAATTTCAATATATTTTTAACCAAAATCATCTCTGGCGAAAAAGGGTAGAATAATACATTTTAAGATATCGGTAACTTGATGAAACTTAAATGAAAGGGTAGTAGTGGAGATTATAGCAACCCAAAGGCGTAGCGACCTCTCCCGGCGCCCGGGGACTAACTTTCAATTTAGCGCCCCCCCCCCCCATATATTTTTCATATTTATAATTTAAAATGCAGCTAAAATGAGCTTTTATTATTATTTTCCAACCCATTTTGACGCCCCTAGGGTCGTCGCCAGGGGACATATGTACCCCCTACCACCTTCGCTGCGCCTCTGTATCAACCTGTTACTCCAAGGATACATGACTTTACTGACTAATGCTAAGTAATACAACTATTGCTGAAATGTAGAAAAAGTAATGACATATTTTTTTTACATAAACTAAAATGAAAATGTTCACAAAATCAATAAAAAAATAACAGCATTCTGAAACATTTTGTAAAACATGAGTACTTATATTTTTTCAATGGATATAACCATGCTATAAAATAAATGGTCGAGTATAAAGTAAATGTATAAGACTCACAACCGACTCATTTATTCGCCACGGATGTATTGCTTTGTAGTTAGTATCTACAATTTTTTCAAAGGCAATATGGAAAAACATTAACTTGTGATTGCGACAGTAGATCTATATTGCAGTCCTATTCACAAATCTTTAATAGCATACAATTCTAATATATATATATATATATATATATATATATATATACATACATATATATATATATATATATATATATATATATATATATATATATATATATATATATATATATATATATATATATATACACACACACACATATATATATATATATATATATATATATATATATATATATATATATATATATATATATATGTGTGTGTGTGTATCTATATATGTGTGTGTGTATGTATAAATATATATATATATATATATATGTATATACTTTCGTTTTTCAATTTAATATGATATCTTGCTACCTCTGTTGCATTGTTGTACTGCTCTATATTGCTTATTATGTAATTTTAGTAGATTGTTAAAATGTTTTATATTGCTAATAGTAAAGCTGTGATAGTTTTTTTTTAGTATATTGATTAATGTAAATTTACGGAATGCTAGAATATGTTATAGATGTATAAAAAAATAATAGTATCTTTGGTACACTTAAACATTGAAATCCAGCAATCACATCTTAAACTGATAATAATAATGTGAAAGTTAAGTAGTAATGGAATATACATGATAGTTAAAGTAAATTTACTATTTAATACAGAGAATTAAAATTGATCACATTTATCTAAAGGGAACAAAATTAAGTAGAATACAATTTACTTTGGTATTTTAGTTTTGAGTTTTATAAATACAATTTTAGAAAAGTGGAAACCTAGTATTTAGAAAAGATTTGATTTTTGATATTTAAAAAAAAAACTGTGACTATTTTGTAACAATTTCACGAACTCTGTCAACATTAGCAGGTTGTATGTGTGTAAAGTGAAATGAGAATGATGTCACCAAAAGCATACCATATTAATTGGTTGATATAAGAATGATGTCACCATAAGTATGCCATATTAACTGGATGACATGAAAATGACAAAATCTCATGTGTCTAATCGACAGGTGACCGTATGTATAGCTGTGGTTGTTTAATCAAAAAATATAATTGGCATTAAAGGTTGAATAACATACATTTTTAACTGACAGTTTCAGATAGTGATTTAGATATGTGCTCACACAATACACGTTAAAACATATTTTTTCAATAAACAACCATTTTGTAGTTTACAATTCTCATGGTACGTATTACAAAATACACGGGAAATGACAGTTTCAGGGGAGACAAGTGAACATAGGATATATATTACCATGCTAACACGTCTAATAAGGGAGGTAATAATTTAGCATGTGGTTTATAAGGACAGGGATGAAATACTGAAGACAATGCGTTATGTTACACGATTAGAGTTTATGTTTTATGTAAACACTAAATGTGTTTGTATTATATTACAAGTTTAAAGTGTTCTCTTTTGAAAATGCGTTAATAAAAAAAAATTATATTATTTTTTACCAAACCAACACTATATACATTTAAACTTCTCAATAATAATAATAATTTACTCTTTAAAGCGCTCACTCTTTGAAATTCACTACAATGATCCCACGGTCGTTTCTATTTCTGTCCATGTCTACAATGTGAACTTTGACTCCACAGCTAAGGACTGAGCACAGTGAACCAGGGGTCGGCAACCCTTTGAGGCGGAAGAGCCAAAAGTTACAATTTTCAAAATTTCCCTGGTTTTAAAGAGCCACTAATATTTTTTTATTTCAAATATTTTATTTTTTTATTAAGATTATTAGTATTTGTGCAAGGAGCTGGAGAGCCGCATCGTGATATCAAAAGAGCCGCATGCGGCTCGCGAGCCGCAGGTTGCCGACCCCTGCAGTAAACTAAGCAGTGAAGAGAAACCGAGTTTGCACACCTTATTTTAGTCTCGTCTTATGCCACTTTATTTTCTCTCTTTGATTATTATATATGCAATTGATGTTCATATCTTTGATGCTGTGTAAAACTATCAAACAAATTATTATTACTGATTTAAATGTTTAAAACAATTGATTAAAAAAAAAGCAATTGTTTGAGGATTGTATAGTTATAGATGTTTGAAAGGGAAGAATGTTTGCTTTGATGTGTCTCGTTGTAATAACACAACTTTTCCGATTGCTTAAAATGTGTATCATTTTAATTCTCTGTAATCACAAATTTATTTCAGCTCTACTTAAAAACCCAAATTCTACCCCGCCCCCCCCCCCCCTTTCATCACACCCTCCCCGACCCTAAACCCCAGGATCCCCATATCATATTACCCCCATTACTGCATCCACTTCGCCACCACGACCACACCACTGTGTTGAATTACTATGTTAAGTACTAAGGATTATGTATTATCAAAATAAATTCCATGTCCCCCACCTCAAAAATAAAATAAAAAATAAAATAAAATAAAAAAACAATTAAAAAAAAACAAAAAAAAAGTATTGAAAACAAAAAAAGTCAAATTCTATGAAACTGTTTCTCATTCCAATGTTTAAGTACCAGATATTGAGGATATTTACCAGATAAGGACCGCCTCTAATGCAAAAATATGACGGGCAAAAAGTTAAGCCCCGCCACTTCCTGCCAGCTTTAACTTAATGCACGCACGCAACCTTGACCTTATTTCTGATGTCTATTTCAAAACACGCCAAAAAAAAAAACAAAAAAACAACCAACAACTTATCCAGCTCTATTCTTAGCGTTTGATTAGGATTAAAAACTTAAAGTACAAGTTGTATTACCTCTTTTATATAAATTTTTTAAAGCGGGTGGCGGGGGTTAACTTTTTTAGCGGGCTTATCTGGAAAAAATCTGATATCAGACCTACTGTCAGTGTAGTCTACATAGCACCCACGAGGGAAAATACAGTGAGAGTGTAACATTGGACAGGTCCAGTGCTAAAAGTAATGCTAAAACAGTAAGTTACTACTTTTATTGCAAGATAACCTAGATATACCCTAAGTTGTGCTTAAACCGTGAACCAAACCAGATAGGTCTTTTTAAAGAATAGAAACGCATATAAACTTTACAACAGTGAGGTACACAGCTTTATACAACTGAATAGAAACGTAACAGCAGTTAACTAAACCAGCGCATCTATCAGGATAGTGAGTTGAACGACCTCAATATCAATGTGTCTCTTTTTTAGGTTAGTGTAGCTTTTAACCCACTTTCTATTTAATTATAATTAATGACAGTTAATGTTAATCAAAATGGTAGACCGTGAGAGAATGGTTACAATCTCTGTACTATTAGCTTGAAACATTAACTCAGATATATTGTTATTAGAAAAATAAAATAGAAATTACAATTTTCTTTTGTTTATTTAAAAGGTATGTTGAAAGATATTTAAAATACTGTGTATGTGTGCTTACAACAGTTAAAATATAAAAAACCGAGGGTAATATGCATTCTAAAATTTTGTTCAGGTTTATCTTGTAAAAACTGAAAGAAATTTGTCACAAATATTTCATTCAAAATCAAAGATTTTTCATCATTTCATCATTCATGATTTACTAAAATGGAAAAAAAAATCTTTCTTTTGTAAGATTTTCATCCTGTCATCATTCACGATTGACTAAAATAGAAAACAAATTCTTCTTTTTGTAAGATTTATCCTGTGTGTCGGCTTATTAGATTGTTATGGTGACGTGTAGGAAGTGACGTCATCAAGCGTCGTCCTTGTCAAAGACGACCTTGCTGATCCCATCTGTCTCAGTGAATTCGGTGCACCTTGATATAAAGCCGGATTTACTCGTCCGGCGGGTTCGTGATGTGTCCGACCCGTCAACAGAGTTGGAGTCGCCATAACGGGAGTGAATAATCCTCAGTTTGAGCCATTTTGGCTGGGCGGTTTGACCCGGGCAAAAGATATCCGCGAAGGTCGCCCTGAACTGGGTGCTCATAGAACAGTATAGGACAAAGTTGACGGAGTTGTTGGTCAACGCCATGAGGTCCAGCAGGTCGCCCAGCTTGTAGTAGACTACCTGTGTGAAGCAGGTGACGAAGATGTTCATCAGGGTCAGGATGCCCTGGGGCAGCTCGGTCAAGGTGAAGAGGACGACAATGGCCAACAGCATCCCCGTGATACGGTTGTGCTCGCCGTGTTTGTCCGACTCGGCTTTCCGGCCTTGAGATTTCAGCTTCAGACGCTTGCGGTAGGCTTTGTGCACGGCAACGACGAGCAGCAAGGTCAATGTCGTCAGCATGAAACAGGGGATCAGTTTCATGAGTATGGCCTGGACCCAGTTGTTGACCTGGATCAGGTAAAGGTCAAAGGTTGTGGACATGCGCAGTGTGGGGTAATAGTAAACGTCTTCGTTATTCGTTAATAGATTCTGTGATGTGATAAAGGATTGGTTAATTTTCGCTAAATCAGTATTGTACGAGACGTAGTCTTCAGTTAAGTTAGTTGTGTTATTTACGGACATCGGAAACTGAATGTCATACGTGTTGACAGCGAAGTTAGGTAAACAAATGACGATGGTGATCATGACAACCATAAAAACAACAACCCTAGCCCTATGCTGACTACAGTAATGAACCCCGCTTGTCGGCTTGCAAATATAAATGTACCTAAAGATGGCCAAAGCGATGGTCAACCATATAGCAACAGTGTGACACACTATGCTGAAACTTGCGTGGAACAACAGGAAACATATCCAATGGAACTGTCTAGAACTGAATGGATGATGTGTAGGGTCTGACGGTTCCATGACGTAAAAATGTAACGCAAAGGGAAGATACTCTACCATGGTGAGAAGATCCGCCACCGCTAGCCACAACAAGAGCGTGTTGGTGCTGGAAGACATATTCCTCCGCGTCAGGACTATGATGTTGGCGGAGTTGGACAAGACGCCAAAGAGGCAAACCGCCACAGCGATGTAGCCGTGGAGCTTGCTGAGACCGAGGTAGAATTTGACGAGACCCCGGCTTGTGGCGTTAGAGACGAAACCTGGGATGTATTCGGCGTAGTCGCAGCCTTGTTCGCTGCTCACCTGGACTACGGCTACGGTGATTTGATCCAAAGTAGAGGAGGAAGTAGACACAGGTTCATCCATTTTGACGTCAAACACGATTATATATAACGATATATCACGTTAAATACGATAAAAATATAACGATGTATCATTTCAAATTAAATAATAAATGTGAAAAAAATATAACTTTTTTTTGTATCTCGTTAATCAGGATACACACGAAAAAAATAAATAAATCACTATATTCCCGAAAACACCTCAAATACAGCTGAAATCTAATCCAAATCGAATCAAAGAGCACAAGTGTTTTTGTTAGGTCCAAAAAGTGGGTCCCGTAATGAATACAAGACACGAGTGTTCATGATTTAGTTGCTGGCCCTGCGCCATCATCAGGCCTGCATAATGAATCGATTATCTATTCATAAGCCGTGGGTCACTTGGATTCGCCATCATGACGACATGGACGGTATCGACTACCGATTTTATCTCCGCCTCGCTCCTTGGGCCACCATGACGACATGGGCAGAATCGACTTCGTGTTTAATCTCTGCCTCACTCCTTAGGCCACAATGATGACATGGGCAGAATCGACTATCTATTTAATATCTGCCTCACTCCTTAGGCAACCATGCTGACATGGACGGTATCGACTACCTATTTAAACTCTGCCTCACTTCTTGGGCCACCATGATGAGACGGACAGTATCGACTACCTATTTAATCTCTGCCACTTGCATGCACCCGCCCAACCACTGAACCTTGGGAAGAAAAAAAAAACAAAAACAAATGTTTTGTGACAGGTGGCTGACGGTGTACATTGTACATTCTAATCTACAGTAAATTATCAGAATCATCGTTCACAATGCTACCAACATTATGCCTTCTTTACCCCATGGGGAAGAATACAAAAGTTATTTCAAAACTCCCTTTAATAACCCTTACAATAAAACCACAAATAAAACCGTTACACGAATGCCTTTCCAAATTGCACGTAATGAAATTAAAACAACTAAAATACTTGAGCAAAGTCTCAGAGATAGAATTCCTAACAAACACAGAAAAACTTCCGAACATCATACTGAAGAACAGAGTAGCTAACCCAAAACAAGAAATTCTCTTTAACTTTAACAGCACAATTTTCAAATACTTTCTAAAAGCTTAAGTAGAATTACAGAAAACTAACAATGTCTTCTCAATAACTCAAGTTACATTGCTGCAGCGAGCCTTCTTTCGATTTCGTTATAGAAGAACATCAAACTAAAAAAAACGTTTGTAACTCTTAGAAAAAACGTCAGCAAAGGTCACTGGAACAAGTTTAACATGTGAAAACCAAAGGTAATATTTCAAAATAATCCTTTCAAATATTTTTAACAGAAGAGTACAACATGAGCCGTTTATAACACCTTGTAACTAGAACTGGATCTAAACCCGAATTTTTAACCTGTATCCATAAAAACTAAGCAGAGAGATTGTAATAATTTGGTAAACACCTTCAGAGACAAATCTAAGAAAGATAGAGCGAGAGAGAGAGAGAGAGAGAGAGAGAGAGAGAGAGAGAGAGCAAGCGAGAGAGAGAGTACTATTTTTTTTACATGTAGCCTACACAAGAGGTTTGTTTCTCTGAGAGTAATACACTTCATCAAGAGTCTAAAAGGTGCAGGAAGGGCATATGCCATTATTAACATTTAACTGAACGTAATGCCCTCAGTTGAAATGAAAAGAGAACGGACATTTGAAGAAAGGCACTAACGCTGGCGACATTGTGAATCAGGAAACTTTGATCATAAACTTGTTTGAAGTACAGTAAAAAATACATTTCCGATGTGTGGACGGCATGTTCGGAAAATGTATGATTGATTTGTGAATTATTTAATTGCTTTTAAGATCGACAGAAGTGATAAAAGAAAATCGATACGAACTGTGATCAGAAAATTTGATAAGTGTCTGCTCTCGCGAATGGCATTTGTGTGACGCTTGGAATTTGTATGACGCCTGCTGTTCGTGTGACGCATTCCATTAAGTCCATGTATTGCAGGTATGAAGATTTGCAAAATGTGCACATTGCAAAACATAAAAATGATAACATGATTATCGATGAATCGTTTTGCTTTATTATGAAGAATTTTTATTCATAACACAACGTTTAAGAGCTTATGGAGACACGACATTTAGTTTGCGGCACTTCTGAAACGTATTGCTTTGAATAATTCTGTTCAATAATATATCAAATAAAGGCGAGACAAACTGACATATTAATACTTTATCATGTATATGCGAATGAATACGTATAGCATAAAATCAATGTCGGACGACATATTTCAGAAACCACAGTCATAAAGTTATTCTTTTCAAAGTATAACCTAGAGAGTAATCCATCAAGTAGAATATCTGTCTAGACAGTATTTGGTTGGATGTGGCTGGTACCACGTGATATAGACAACTAGACGTATTGGCTCTTTTTATCACCCGCCCAGCTTTTCAATTCTTTTTCTCCAGGGTCTTGTAAGTTTCAGTGGGATTTTTAAGATTTCCTGAAGTCTCCTTAGTGCTATTTCAGACTTATTTTCTAAAAATAAAAAAAACAAGACCAGAAATCCCTCGAAATAAAAACAACTATTTTGAATGTGAAATACGCTGAAATAATAAATTTGGAAAGCTAAACATCTTCCAAATATATTTATTAAAAAATATTTAGAAAACACTTTGTTTTTTATCGATTACAAAGAAATTCTTTACATGCCGCAGTGTTTATTGCCTTTCGTGAAATAACAACACTCGTAAAGTTAACTACACATTTTTTATTAACATCCTTATTCATTTTAATAGAATGAAAATGCAGGAAAACCAGTTTATAAGCCAGCCACATCCACTAGCTCAGTTAAAGCTAGAGCTGTTCTTTGTTTTAGCTATAACATAATAAACAAAAGGAATACCACTTGTGATCTAGTGTCACTGAAACAGCCAAAGAGAAAACACAAGTACATTCCACGATGTAAAACGGTACGTTAAATACTACTGGAGTAACCAGCAAACACAAATATGTGATACCCTACGACCTAGTACATTAAATAGATATTAGTATAGTGTAGTAGCTAGCAGTAAGAAAATAAAATGTCTGCTTAATACTAGCTTCTAGCTACATCATTACTCAAACGATAAAAAATTGACATCTGGATATTCTGGGGTTATGGGGTTAGAATGAGCAGGGAAGGCGGTGGGATCATGAGGTCAGTTGATGCATATTGATGTAGATTTCAAGATATTATACAACAGTAGCAAGATTCAGCAAAAAGGTTAAGTGGGAAAAGGTCTTGACTTTACAGCACTGAGTCAGATACAGACTTTATAGCCGTAGGTATTAGAGTCAGATACAGACTTTATAAATGTGTATACTGGAGTCAGATACAGACTTTATAACCGCGAGTACTAGAGTCAGATACAGACTTTATAACCGCGAGTACTAGAGTCAGATACAGACTTATTTTCAAGTAAACAATTTTATAGGTAGTTATAAAAATGACATATTTAAAATAATTTTAAAGTGGACTTTTCTCTAGTTGTGAGTTACGAAGTTATTTCAATGTGATTTCGTATGTTTTGTGGTCAGTAGCTTATAGAAATGATTGGACAACGTAGCAGTATGGTAGAGCACATGATTGGACAGTAAAGCTTTGACTTTTGAATCCTTGAATCGTGACCATAGAACGTGGATGAATACACTCAACTTTGATGAGTTACCTGACTCGGGTTTGGTAAAACTAAAAACTTTGGATAAAGTGCTGACCATCAATTTCTCCAAAGTAGAAGCCACAGAAACAGACACCTCAGTTATCTTCCCCAAGGAACTCCAAGTTTAAATGGTGCTTTACATTTGTAGTGTTAGCTTAGGTTAATGAACCCAAGAATAAAAGTAAAATGAAATAAAAGATAAACATAAACGGCATGAGAAAATATCTGTATGCTAAAACCAGCTTTACACTACTTGATACAAACTCTTCAGACAGAATGAATTTAAATACAATCACACAAGGGTGTTTTTAATCAAAATAAGAAGAACAAATCACAGAAATTATGTATACGTTTATTTTCTTCAATGACCTTTATGGTAACTCCATTTAAAAAAAAAACAACTAACGAAAAATTTAAATTCCCTCATGACTTAAAAGCAAAACAATCAGAACATTGAACCGAACCGACTATACACGTATATCAGACCTTGGCTGCTATGTTAAACAAAAATATTCATTATTTATAAGCCACGGCTGTACAGCGCATATCACACACATCAAAAATGATTATCAAAGCATGTTTATCTACGTAACAAAGACTTTTAACTTGCACGTATCAAACTATCGCTTTGTTCAAACCATCAAAGACTTCAATTGTAGGAATTTTTAAAACAAATTTTGATTCATGAATTATTTTTTTGTTGAAGGCGGTAAAAAAAATCAAAGTTGGTGCTGTACAAAGACACACATTTGATATTAAACAGTTTGTGATAAAAAATACAGTATTTTATTTAGAACTTTACGCCTTTGAAACACTAATTCATTTTAGTGTGATTCGACATTGATTCTAAATGTGTACTTTATAGCTACATGACGTTGCTTCTTTCATGGATTTTGAATAATGGACTTTTTTAAGTTAACAAATTGAGTCACGCGACTAAAAAGGAGAATTTGGCTCAAAAGTAAGGGCAAATTGAAAGAGATTGATGCTGATCAACTATAGGCTATCAGTTTAATAAAACGACCCTATGATTTAAAATTAACTTTAATAGAAATGAGGTTCTTTTAAATAAAAAAAAGATTCACGAAATATCAGTTTTGAACCAGATTGTACTACTAATTTGTTTTGATTCTGTCTCACTAGCTTGTTAGAATCTCCGGTATAATGTTAAAGACATAGTCACATTCAAACTATTTTTATTACTTGACAGTATAGAATGCTGGCAGTTAAACAATGAAAGTGGTTGAAAATAACTACACTAGATTTCAAGAAAATTAATATTCACATTTAACATAAAACAAACAGCTTATATAAAAATCAATGCAAATAAAAAAAAAACGATTAAAAGTTAA